TCATCTACAACATACAGTGCAAGGACTGCAACAAACACTATGTAGGACAGACAGGCAGAAGGCTGGCAGAGCACGTCCATGAACACCAACTAGCAGTCAGAAAACAGGATGAAAACTCCTTAATCTCACAACACATGGACAGATATAAGCACAGTTTTAACTGGGAAACTGTCAGCATTTTAGACCAAGCTAAATTCAAAAATGCAAGGGAATTCTTGGAAGCTTGGTATTCAGAAAAGGCAGTATAAGCACAGTTTTAACTGGGAAACTGTCAGCATTTTAGACCAAGCTAAATTCAAAAATGCAAGGGAATTCTTGGAAGCTTGGTATTCAGAAAAGGCAGCAATTAACAGAGACATAAACAGCATCTACACTCTATTCAAAAGAGAAAATAGAAAAGAACACAAAGGACCAGAACAGCTCCTCACCAGCAATCATCACCCAGATAAGCAGAGGTTACCACTGGGCACACAAGCAAGCAATAAACAATGCCCTAATCAAGGAACTACCAGAGGAACAGAACAAAACCCCCACCCCCACCAACACCGGCAGGGCATGCTACAATATATAAACAGAGAGCAAACCGCATCCCATTCTAGCACTGAAGATGTTACCTAGCCAGGTAATGAAACGTTTGCAAGAAAAGAACCAAGCTCAGAGAACCCCAAGGACTAATAGAATCTCTACAGGAAGGAAATCATTATCTGTGGCATATGCGTCTTCTTTATTTTGAGTCATGCATTTTAGTTTAATTATTATTCTCATGTACCTGTGTAACTCTTCTTCTTTTACTTTTTTCAACTTATCCATTGCTTGCTTTGCTCTAAAATGTGTTCGAACTCTCTCATCTTCTTCTTCTTGTTTTTGCTTTTCTATAGCTTTGAGAGTTACCTGGTCAGCAACATATGCCTTTAAAATAATCAGACAAAACTGAAAATGCATTTTGTTGCCAAATCCCCAGTCTCCCAATTCTTAGCTAAAGAGCTGTGGCTTCCAATGGCACTGCTTTGTTGCTTCATAAATAAAGTTAGTTCATTTATTCTTTACTACTGCTTTAAGTCTCCCAGCATGGCTCTTGCTCATGTGCAGAGTCAAATTTAACCTAGCCCTTCACTCTGATGAAGATAGAAAATTTAAATCCTTTTAAAACCAAGGGGCAGAACTCAAAGAGAAACGTGAGGGAGAAATTGCAGAACCAAAGTTGGAAACATTTTGGACAACCAAAGGGGAACACGGGGGGGGGGGGGGGGGAGAAGAAAAGATAAAGAATTAATGCTGGGAAGAGAGAGATTAAAATCAGAGACTTTTGGAGACCCTTTTTAAAAATAATTAAAATAGTAATAATAGCAGCAGCAGAAGCGTAAAGGGTAGAGAAGAGCTGCAACAAACAGCCAGAAGGAAAAAGATTCTAGTTCTTACAAATTTATGCCAGAAA